AATTGATTACCTCAGACATTTGATTGACGTGAACAATTACATTATCTCTGGCATGTTCACACTTGAAGTGCTTATTTTTTAACAGTTTATTATTTCAGTAAACATTTTTCTGATGATCTGGCTGTACTGGTGAGTTCTTATATGAATACTGCAAGTTTGCAGATGATACAAAACTGGGAGGTTGACAACCTCCAGGGCAGGGAGATCCTACAAAAAGACCTTGATTAACTAGAGAGATAGGCAATCAGGCATCAGGGACAGCACTGACAGCTGGGCAAGGGAGGGGATTGATTGTCCTGCTCTGCTCTGCACTGGGGCAGCCTCACCTTGAGTGCTGAGGCACTTTTGGGTACCACAGCATAATCAAGTTATTAATCTATTATTCAAATGAGGATAAAAAATGAAGATGGTGAATGGACTGCAAGGAAGCCATATGAGGAGCAGCTGAGGTCACCTGGTCTGTTCAGCCTGGAGGAGACTGAGGAGAGACCTCATTGCAGGTACAACTTCCTTATGAGGGAAAGAGGAAGGGCAGACAGGCTTCTCTTATCTGTGGTGACCAGTGATATGACCCAAGGAAATGGGGTCATATGGGGAGGTTTAGGTTGGATATCAGGAAAAGTTTCTTCACCCAGTAAGTTTTTGGGCACTGGAACAGCTCCCCAGGGAAGCGGTCACAGCACGAAGCCAGACAGAGTTCAAGAATAGTTTGGACAATGCTCTCAGGCACAGGTCCGACTCTTGGAGTGACCTGTGCAGGGCCAGGAGTTGGAATCAATAATCTTTGTTAGTCTCTTCCAACTTATTCTGTGACAACTTAAAGTGAAGAAATAGGTTGCAGCTATATAAAAAATGAAGCAGCACCCAGGAACATCCTTCATCACTGGAATTTCATGGTCTGTACTAAATAATTCTTAAAATCCTCCCTGGCATGGTTTAGGCCTGGGTCAATTAATACTTTCCCTACCAGCTCCTGGAGCTAATACAGGTGCCAGATCATTCCCAGTAGGTGGTCTGTGTGTGACATCCTGTTTGGATAAGAGAGTATAGCAGTAGGGACACAGGTTGTGCCATGAAAGTTTGCCTCAGGACCAGAGCCAAGACTCAAGCACATTTAATTCACTGTTGCAGACAGTGTCACAAATATTTAGGGCACTTTATGGAACAAGCTTCTGCTGGTATTAAAGCAAGTTTATTTCTTACTCAAATATATTTGCAAATTCTCTTCCATCTTGTTTTGCAACTTGACAGCTCACTCTGTAGATCCCTGCTGCATGTAATGTTCCAGTTGTACCATTGCTGGAATGACAATATTTACATAAGAAAGTGATTTTAAAAGTGTATATTTAAAAAATGAAAATTTAATATATTTTTGACTTGTTTATTAACAGTTAAAGTTGTCTTTAAAGCTTAGTAATATAAAAAAGTAAATCACTATTCGTCCTTTCAAGCCACCTTTAGAAAACTGCATTAAACAAGGAGAAATGAAGGGCAACATTGAAGGGAAACAAATCTGCCTGAAACCAACTAGACAGTGAACTATGTCCAGAAATGCACCTTTTCTGTCAGTCCAACAACAGACATATCTGGAGTAGAGAAACACTCACTGGGTTTTAAGATGTCTTTGGAAGTCTCTCTGAATTCTTCCACTGTATGTAGCCCACATGAAAAAATGGGGTGTTGGGCAGAGAGAAGGAGAGAAGTGATCCCTTGGGAGAGATTCTGAACCACCACTGACTTCTCTGGCCCCTTCCTCTGCTCTGGCTGGATAGCCATCTGTGTCCTTGAGATGTCCTGCAGCAACAGAGACATTCTTTCCTAGAGATCCAGGCATTTAACTGTGCTTTCAACTTCCAACCAGTTACAGAGAAACTGCAATGCTCGGTCAGCCAAACACAAATTAATACTCACTTATGCATTTCTTTTACAGTGTGTTTTGTATATATAGGTATTCACTCTCTTCTCTGGAAACAGAAGAATGAAATAACTGCATTGTTGCTATGGAACAAATAGGCTGGCTTCTAAGTTTTAAAAAATTTGCACTCCAAATCAGCCTATTAAAAAATCATAAGCACATCTCCCCATGGCAGAATATTATTTTTAACAGCTTCTTTCTAGTTGCATTCTTTTTTATTCCCACAGGTTTCTATTTCTTCACGTAAAAAAAAATCTGGCTTGTTTTGTTTATCCTGTAGTGGAAAGTTGATATTTTCACATAATCATATGACTTTAGGAGCCAGAGACTTTGAGAATGAGACAAAGAAAATTCTGGTAAAAATGATGACAACTGGCAAGGCAATGTAGCAAGATTCCAAATCTTCCCAGGCTGTTTCCAAGGTATTACTAATACTGTTATAGTATAATACTGTGTAATATGATGGTGCATGCTGTATGGTATATATTATATTTTACCAGGATTTCAATAATACCAATATGTATAATTGTTAGAATAGCTTTACCCTTTGTCCCTGTAACAATTAACAGTTTTGTATTTCAAAGGTGTGTTTCCTTTTCACTACAGTAATTAATGCTGGCTGAAGTGAAAGGAGAGAAATACCTCCTGAGATACTTTTAATAGGCCTGTCTGCACCAGCACATAGAAATACTGCAGTGTAAAAAATGTGGCATGAGATACTCTCACACCAAACAGTAATGATCAGTATTTTTGACACTGATATATTTGCACTTAAGATGTGAACTTGAATGGCAGGAGATTAGAGCTTCTCAAAGAGCAGATCCTGGTGTGGGTGAGGTCTGTCTGGTTACATGGATGAGATTGATCATCCCATGACGCCTGATGGAAGACAAAGCCACAAACATGCAGTCTTTGAATGAGTCAGCACAGAAGAATGATTTCATATGAAATATGCCCCATGCCCATGAATTTGGGTTTGAATGGTGGGTAATGATTTTCATATGGTCCTACTGTGTGTTTCAGCCCAGTGTGAACAAACTGCCTCCTTCCTGCAACTTCTGAAACAAGTTTCTGTGCAGTGTCTGATCTTCCCCTCATTGCATTAAAAAAAAAAAAAAAACACAGGGCCCAATTCAGCCAAAAATAACCCTTGCAGCTGTACTGCCTGAGCTCTGTGAGTCTCTTGTTCTCTGAAGATATTTATACAATTCCTAAAGGGAAAATATCTCCTTTCCAGCAGTCACAGAGAAGGCTATTAGACATAATGATGAGCCCATCCAGCAGAGCTGTTGTTCTGTTCTCTGTACAGCAGGGAAAGTTGTGCCTATCCACAGTATCCATATCTCCTAGGCCTAAATGGGCAGCCGAGAGCACTGGCTGCAAGTTTTTGATTTCTTGGCCAAGAGTTTTCTTATTTGCTTCAGAGAAATGTGAACAGATCTATTTCATGCTCTGGTATTTCAAATGACAATTCTGGACCTAGAATGTGGAGAAGCATGTGGATGGAAGAAGCAATTTATAAGGTTTCATGGCAGAAATGTCACAATAAGGGAAAAATGTGTGTGTGTGTTATTCTGCACACTTCCTCTTGATTTCTGGGAGCAGCTTAAAGGAAAAGAGGGCATTTTTGACTTCCTTCCACCTGAGGCCAAGTGGGTTTTGTGCTGTTTCAGATTCCCCATTTCTCAAGACATTTTCTGCACATTTGTGAGAGAAGGGTGGTGGTGAGAGTTAACAGTGGAATTAAATAATGAAATACAAAATAGAGAATCAAGGAAAGCTTAAAGAAGGAGGGGAACTCTGAAGGTTATAAAGTGGATTCACTTTTGTTTTTCTGTTTGTCAGACAGTTTGTCCCCAGAGCTATGATACAGACCACTGGCTATCATGCAGGAGTTTGTAAGAGATTCAGAAATTTCCCACTGGAAGCAACCAGAACTGGAACAAGCGTGGTAAAAATGCACCACTGGTAATCGAGTAGATATTGTTAATCTCCTAAGGCAAATGTCAAGTCCAATTTAAGATTGATTAGGATTAAAGAACAACAAAACTTTTGAAATAATACCAGTTGCAGAGGTCAAAATATACCTCTACTTGAGAAAAAAAAAAAAGTTAGGCCTATTATATGTTAATAATATTTGTGAGGCTGTGGTTGAAGAAAACAGGTTATTTGTTCAGATGTCCTTACACCGTAACAAATATAGTATATAGCAGTTCAGAATTTTAAATTTCCTTGTTGACACTTCTTTTAGGAAGAGCAAACTTAGACCAAAAGATGAAGATGCAAATATTTGGTAATTGTATAAAAATGCTGCGGGATTTTTGTGTCAATTCTATTTTGGCTTACCTATTGTACAAGTATTTTGAATATAGATACTGGAACTGCTATGGTAAGAGAGCATGTGAAAACATACAATTTCATCTGGGAAGTTTTCTGCAGTAAACTTGGAAAACCAGTAAATTATTCTGTATTTTATATCACTTACTAACACAATTACACAATACAGTTTTCAATGTCTTATTATACCTGTATGGTTTGTTCTCCTAATGATGGCCCGAGTATTTGACAATGTTCTTTTGCATATGAGATAGAAACATACAGCTCAACAGGAAATGTGTTTAGCTCCATGTCTTCTCCAGTCTCCAGAGAAGTAGGGTCTCAATGCTTCAGATAATTCTTTTATAGCTGTAGCTCTTTAAATGTGTTTTGACTTGTTTTTATGCTATTTTATTCCCAAAGGCCTTTGGCTAGTAAGCTGCTAGTTTCTGCAACCCTGATTTAGTGAAAAAAAAAAAAAAAAAAAACCCCAACAAAAAAGAGGCAGAAGTTCAACATGAAGCAAACACTGAGATAAGCAAAAACTTTGGGCAAGAGGGCTAAGCCTTTATTAAATATGTACTGGTCTCCAAAGAAGATGCTAGATCCTTGATCTATACCCACAGGCAAAATGCTGGGGCTTAGTGGGTATTTTTAGCATCCAATTTCCTTGTTTTACAGCCCAAACTACTTCCTTAGAAGTATTCAGGACACCACAATATTCAACTCAGTTCAACAAACATCCCACTGGGGCTATGTTGTGGCTCACCTGTACTGCCCAGTGCAGAGCTGTTTTGAAGTCCTTGTCCACCAGAGTCAGGTCTGCTCCCTTGTGCAGCAGAGTCTGGGTGTGCTGGGGTCTGTTGTGAAATGCAGCCCAGTGGAGTGAAGTCATTCCCTGCAAGCCACAAACCCAGAGGGCAAATCATTGTCACTCACAGGAGCACCCTTCAAGTCTATGTAGATAAACTAGACAGCCCTGAAAACATCCAGGGTGGACAAATTCTTCCCTCTTCACCTTGATTTGAAATAGTAGTAGCTTCTGAATTAGTGGAGTCACAAGGGCAAACCAAGCAATTAACTTATTGGAATTATTACAGAAAATGGATACAAATGCTTCCTCCATATATGCCTATAGCCTGTTATAAATAACATGTGGTCAGGGCCATGATGGCTGGGGGGACAGTTCCTCACTGCTCAGCTTGAATCCTGCAAGAAAAGCCTGGTTTAGACTGGTACTTTGGCCATTACACAGCATGATGTCTGTGCTTGGTCTTATCTTTGATCCAAAATAAATATTACAAGCTATTACTGCAGCTGGCACTAGTCGGCAAGCTAAAGAAACACAGTGATGCTCATAAAAAAGTCCCAGTATAAACATTTTATATTTATTTACTCTTCAGGGATAAAACAAAGTAAATGGTAAGGTATTTAGCTGCATTTTCATTCCATCTTAGCTACATCCAGTCAGTCTTAATAGGTCAGAGAATTCATGGACTGTATCTGTACCTTCAGCATTGTTACACTCACATGTATTTTACTCTATATCCATAATAATTACGATTTTCTGTATAAATTGACTAATTTATTATTCCTGTAACAAACTGCTAGTAGTTTTCAGGTGTGGTAACATTTTCCTTCGAGCAGGTGTTGTTTTCTCTCTTACCAGAAAAACATGCACTTCAAGGGTCTTGCCTGATTTCCAAAAGGATAAAAGCATTAAAAAAAAAAAAAAAAAAAAAAAAAAGGTTGTGTGGAAAAGCAATTAAAATTTGAATTGGAACCCCAATAAAGCCAGCTGGTAACAACCCAGGTAAAGTATGAGCTATATTGATGCAGACAGCTTATCAGTGCATTAAAGTGGAAGCTGTTTGCAGTGATTTTCTGACTAAAAGCCTGAACGCATTAGCATTAATTTCTCTCACTCATCATATATCTTCTAAAACTTTTAAGTTCCCATGTGGCTTAAGTATGGGTGATAACAAAACAGAGCAGTTGAATGAGAGCAGTTTTGGTTTTGCTAAGGGTTTGTAAAGCTTAATCAAGGGGGTTTCTGTTTTGTAAAACCAAAACTGAGGGCAAACTCCCGCACCAACTGAAATTAATGGGAGCTCTTCCATTTATGCCAGTAGACATGAGGGACCTAGTACTGTTGATGGACACACATTATCTGTGAGGTGTCAGTGATGTGATTTCCAGCTGGGAAATGAATACTTGACACTGGTCCTGGTGAGCACGAAAATCACCTAAGAAGGAGAAACTACAGTGTACCAGTGTACCGTCTTTCTGTCATCCTCTCTGTGTTGATATGGCCAAAAAAAATCCTTGAAAAATCAACTTTCTCTCTGTTTCTACTGTGGTAGCCAGCAGAATCAGCTGTAACATAAGAGTGTAAAACTGTGGATGGCTTTCAAAAATCTCTACAGTACGACAAAACCCAGAGAAATCAGGAGCAGATGCTTAGTGCAAAAATATAAGAAACAAGGCTTGACAACATACTGCCACCTAATATTTAATCAGATTAAAGACTTCATATGACATCCAGCCCTACATATACTTCATATGACATCCAGACATACATCTCCTAAAAAAGTGTTTATTTTCATTTTCTTTGAAACTATTGCCCAATAATTTTTGTAGAGGTCCCCATATTTTTATATGCAAAGACCAGACCAATTAATAATAAATATCTTTTCCATGCCATTTATTATACCATGGGTTTATATCATCCCTCTGATGTAGTTGCCAAGCTGAAGTCCTGTTACAGTTAGTTTGCTCTAGTTAGCCTGCCCACCTATGGAACCTGCTCTGTAACTACTATCATCTTTGTAGTCCTTTTTCTGTTCCTTTTCTTGTATATCTTTTTTCAGTGTACTCTTGTAGCCATGTGGCTGTACAAAGGATTCAAACAGAGCTTCCTGTTTTCTTCTCCATTTCTTTTCTAATAGTTTGTACCTTTCGTATGTTCTTTCAGAGTGTGCAGCTGAGCAAAGAGCATTGAGCTGTTTGTCGCAGCAGCTCACTCATGTGGGCTTTCTGCAGCAGGCAGTGGCTGCCCACACCATTTCTGCTTTGTGCTACCACCCTGGAGTGGCACCTGTAGGTGTGGAAACATGAGAGTGGTATCAGAACTGCCAAAGCTGAAGGTCTAGCAGAAAACAATCTTAGAGGTGAGACAGACAAACAATTGCACATTCATAAAAATAAGGAGCAGTACCAGACATAAAAGGACAAACCCAAGAAATGGCTGTGAGAAATACAGTGTGACTTGTTTTGCTCAGATTCAAGGCTTTTACAGAGAATGTTTCTTCACATTGTCACATAGGCTTCACTAATAAACTCACAGAAAGACACAGCTGTGGAAGCTATGAAACCACCAGATGTATTTTATACTCTGTGTGTTCATGCATTCATCAGGGTGATTTTCTCAAGCATCAAATAGGAAAAATGAAGTGTTCTACTTATGCCAAGAGAACAGCTCTGTTTGCTGTAATCATTCATGAGGATCCACATTTTTCAGAAAACATGAGTATTCAGGGCTTAGTACTGACACTTGAACAAATATATTGTCAGTGCCAAATGACAATGAGATGGTCTAAAAGTTCCAAATTGCATGTAGCAGTGCATTACAGCAAAATATTATGGCTTGAAATGATCCACCATTTCATGCAATTCCTTAGTAACATAGTTCTACATCAAGACAATGCATATGTCTGGTTTAGAGTGTCTGAGCAGGGTCTGCAAACCTTGCCATGGGTAAGAAAGAGGAAAAATATACAGCCCTCTGGCCATTCTGACACTGTAAAAAAGAGACATATCCTTGAGTAACTGTTAAAATGAACAGAAACATATGAAAAGACATTCAGAATCTCTCTTGTGTCTTTGCTTATCTATTTGGAGAAAAAAATGTGGGAAGTTATCTCTTTCCTATGTACAATATATATACAAACAGGACACAGTTCCACATGGAAGACATTAGCAAAATTTTTTGTGTTTCCATGGCTGTTCTGTGTAATGCCAGCTCTCTGATATTTTTCCAGAGAACAGTAATTGAATGGTGGGATCAAGGAATCACTGAATCATAGAATGGCTTGGGTTGGAAGGGATCTTAAAAATTATCTGGTCCCAACCTGCCTGCCATGGGCAGAGACATCTTCCACTAAACCAGGTTGCTCAGAGCTCCATCCAGCTCGGCCTTGAACACTTATGATTGGGAAAGGTGAAGATTTGGTCCAGTGTCTAACTTCAGAAGAATCATGAGCAATTCTTCTCTTGACAAATAATTTAAGAGACATATTCAAGGTACCTCATGGCTGGCTCAACAGAGACCTTTATTAGCCTACAGGTGCATAGTATACAGAAGGCAAAATGAGTTGAGAAATATGCAGAGTTTAGCACAAGCATTATAGAAATTTTTGACTTAGCCTTATTGTAAAATTGAAGAGCTTCTATGCCTCCAGTGCCAGGGACTGGGACTTGTAGCACAAGCTCACTCACCTCATTGTCCTGGTGATTAATTTCACTAAGATTTGACTGCTGCAGAAGCAAGCTCAGAAGCCTGTGGAAGCAATGATATAATCAGTGTGCTGAACTCCTGACTAAATTTGAAAAACCAAGTTTTTTAAAAACAAAATGTGCAATTTCATGAAAAATTAATATTAATGATGGGAACAGGTCAGAATCTTAGGTCTGAGCTTTGTCATACGAGCAAAACAAATAGGACTTTATGGCTTATGGTAACAACAAAAGTTTAGAGTGTGGAATTAAAAGAAGATGCACTCAGAATAATTCTTGTGCTTACTGCTGGGCTAGAATCAGAACGTATAATACTGTACATGTGTGCAGTTTTTGGTATCTTAGAAATTTGCTGCCAACATATTTTATAATGTCCTAAAGTAAAAGAGATGCCAGCTTCTGTAAGGATTTAACACTCTATTTAATTCTTGGAGTATTGTGATGTAGTGTGCACATTTGTGTGCATGTGTGTATATATGCATGCTTGCTGTATGTTTATACACATAAGCCAATATTTTACAAGGCTATACAGAATGTCTGCTGGAATAGGGCCATTATTATGGCATAAAACATAGCAATGCATAGGTTCATATTTTATAGAATATTGGACTACAAGCACTCCTGTCTGGTGGAGGGAAAAATAAAGTAGTTACATGAAATATTATTCAAGTACTATAATATTTTTAAATCTCCTTTTTCTTTTGCTATCTTGTGAAGATGTTCTGAAATCACTATAGGTTTGGCAAATTGTTTGGCTCATGTACGTGGCTGACCATGAAAATGAAAAACACCATCCATTCACATGCTGTAGCAAAGCCAATCTTAATATGAATGTACAGTTCTTAGGATTATAGCAAAAAGAAGGATGTATCCTCAGTGGATCATTGTGCAAACCTGTGGCTCATCTGAAGGTGTGAATTTGCTAGAAGCCTTCAGAACATGGACATGAAGAAGACATACTGTTTAGCAAGGAAAGTAAAAAATAATGAAGTACAAAGGAAGGGAATTAGAGAAATGTAAAGATAACACAGAAACAAATTTATAAAATCCTGCATTTATTCCCATGCAGAGGACACTGAATAAAAATCTTTTGCTGCTTTTTATTTTCATACACTTCTAGTGTATCTTCTGGATGGAGCTGTGCTCAGGTGTGTGCATCAGATTAACATTTCATGTGAAATTTGTTCTTTGTTACTGGTAATAAAGAACTAACTGTGTAAATTATTCAAAAGAAGATATTTACAGCTGCTTAGGGATGATTTTGACAATTCTGCAGATGAAAATCTTATCTATAGGTAATACCTTCCTTAGGTGTTGAAAGTCCAAATTTAGGATTTTTTTAAAGTAGAGTCCCTAAACAGTAATGATTGGGCAGATCCCAGCATAGGGATTTTACTATGACTTCAAATTAATTTACATATTAGTAGAAATTATTGTAGAAAAGAGGTGTCACACCTCATTTTCTAAATGGAATCATACTGTAGGAAATCTGAAAAGGATAACACAATGATTGTTGTAATTGGTTTGGCAGAAGTTTGTAAAAGTGAAGAAAGATACTGTTATCATTTAGCAAAATAACTCAGGATCTCAGAAATTCAGTGTCTGAAAACATGTCTTGGAAAATATCAATTAGTGAGGACAACCAAAGTTAGATAACCATAGTATGCTTGTAAAACCATTTATCACATAGCTTTAGAATCTGATACAGGGCTCTGTGGTTCAGAGCCTGATACGATCAATGACACCACTGCATGTGAAAGAAATCTAATTATTTGACTAGAATGTTTATAATGAACAAACTTTGACTCACTTACACCATTAGACCATTATGGCAACATAAGTGCTGCCATTTAAATATGTAGATACCCAACCAAGCAGCTGAGGTTTCTCTGCTATCTACTCTTAAAAGCATAGCTCAGGAATTAATTCCTCTTCCACCTTGCCTGTTAGGCTCTGTGGAATACACTGGAACACTTAAATCAATTATGAAATCAATTCATGAACTGTCTCATTCTTTCCATGCTGCCTCCAGCATGTGAGATTGTAGCAGTGGAGTGCTAGCTTTCAAATTTAGCTGCAAAAGCATTTCACAACTGCATATTCTCTTTTGGCAGTGACATAAGATTTAAGGGACTGACAATGACCAGGATGTAAAAACCTCTCCTCAGCGCTCCAGGCCTGTGTATGGGCACAAGGCAAACCCATTGGGAAGACAGAGGAAAAGGAAAACTGTGCAGAGCAAAGAAGTGTCTGTCTGTATCCTTGGAGAACCTGAAAAACATTCAGGGGGCCCAGTGTGCTTCTGGTGAGATTAGTGTTCCCCTTCAAGTAGCAACATGTGTGGTGTTGTACAAACATTGTCTGCTTTGTTGTGTTGGCTTTGTTTAATGATACAGACTTTTTTTCTGCAGAAATCTCAAATTACTCTCTCCAAGTGATTCATGAAAATTCTCTCTCCAAGTGATGCATGAAAACCAAAGATAATGTGGAAAATTAATAAAGCTGTTAAAAAAGGCTGGAGAACAAGATCAGCAGAAATTGCCAGGTGTCTGGCCTGGTATAGTTACAGCAATAAAATCACGGACTCAGTGATTAAATCACATGAATATACTACATGTACTGAATGTTTCACCTGTTTCTAATATCTTTCTATACCTTCATGATTTACTGAGGGGAGTTTTTTGAGTGAATTTATTCAGCTATACAAATCAAAATTTATTAATACTTCCTATTGTCACAGGCTGGAATCAGAAAAAGAGAATCTTTCTTAAGAGTTCTTGTGAAGACACACTGTAGCTGTTACTCTGCCTTCAGTAAAAGTAGTTAAAAATAAGGCAGAACACCAGTCCTTAACTTCCCTGTTATGGCTGGGGATTTTCAGAGAGATTGTCTTATGGAAACTTTTCTCACATTTGCCATGCTACTCAGAGAAGTCCAGAGAAGGAGTCTCATAATTTCATGTGGTAGGGACAGAAAGGTAGTTGGGCAGGGGAAACATAGGGTTTCAATCTCTCTTATAATTATTTTCCCTCCTCCAGCTATTGCAATATTAAAACAGGCTCCTTTCTTTACCTGGCCATCAATCTCTGGTACACAAGTATTGCACAATGTTTTTTCTCCTCTCTACCCTCTTCACGGTAACCACTAAACAAAGACAAAGGTCATAAGTGTAGCTGTCACAACTATTCCTGCTGTGGGCTCCCCTTGGGTTGAAAGATTCAACCAGCAAAAGCGAGCCAGGCACATACCTCACGTCAGGCTCTGCAGTGGCAGCGTGTAGTGGCAACCTCCCGTTCTTGTCAGGTATGTTCTGCTTAGCACCATTCCTGAGCAGGCTGACACAGCCTTCCAGCCAGCCCTAAAAAAGAAATTGGAGCATATCAAAGAGGAAAGGGAAAAGTATAAGGTCAGATCTTTTCTTGGTGCTGGCATTCACATGTGACTGTAGCCATTTCTGTCAGCAGAGAAACTGGAATTCTTTTCCTCAGTAGAGGTTTCTCAGCATTGAGAGTAGTTCACCTTTGGAGTCTGGGTCTCAAACTACCTCAGTTGTTCATTACTCTGATGAGGTGTTTAATTTGCCCTGTATTTTTTGTTTTGTTCATTTATTTTCCCCCTGTATCTGTGGCAAGCACTAACAGTCATTAAAAACTTGCTAATTCCTGTATCATTTGCAGATGCTACACATATTCTTGCATGTGAATTCAGCCATACTAGATTAAACCAAGAACATGAGTGCTCAATCTGATTTTGTTTGTGAGATTTTAGCAAGGATAGCAAATCAATGGTAAAAAGCCTTAGAGTGTGGTCTTATAAATGTTGTTGCAGAAGTTTGTACTGGTGGCAGTGTTAGACTGAAAATAGCACCAAAACAGATTGAATGAATCAGTCCTTGGACTAAAACCTTCTATTGATCACCTCAACATAAAAGCAAGTAAACAGTCTGGTTGTGACTGCATAAATCTTTCAGCATAACTGAAGTCTGAAGAAAACCAAGCATGAGTTTGTGTTTTGTTAAAACTTCAGCAGACAATTGACAAAGACCATTCCCTCTCACATGAACTATTTTGGATTGGCATTAGGAGCACTTCTGGGGAAAACGTGTGGTATGGTGGAATCAGAACACCCTGTTGGAGCTCTTGGTGGAAGTACAGGACCACCAAATGCCACATGCAGTCTTGACTGTGCAACCCTCCTGAATTCATTTGTCAGGACAGACATCACAGCAGAATTCTTTCTGGATCTCTCGTTATATCCCTCACAGAAACAGAAATGGAAACTTAGAAGGCTGGGTGGTTTAAATATTTTCCAGTAATTTCTTTTTTTCCAAAGAATATTTTTTCCCCTCCGGGAAAAGAGGAAGGAAAAAAGCATGACATTTATTATGGGATTTTTGTAAAATATCTTGCAGAGGAAATGTTTGTTGTGAAGTAAGTGGGACATGCTCCTTGCACTGGATGAGACTGGCTGTTTTGTTATTTTCTACACTTTATTTTCTGGCTGAATATTGCATAGCTAAGCAAGAACATTGTTTCTGTCCTGAATTTTCAGGAAGAAACTACGTGCAAGAGATGTCATTTAATTAGGCTGCCACAGTATCTGTTTAAATGAGCTGGCAGTCATCCAGCTTAACTCATACTGTGCAGCCATGGCTGCACGCTCCTTCTTCCTTTCTCTCCAATTAATAATGGAAGCCCAGTCTGTTTGGCTAACTTGGACCACACATCCTCTCTGAAACCTGAACTACTTCCTGCAAGGAGTAGAAGACTAAGGAGAAGAGCACTGTCCTTGTTGCTTCAGATAGATTCTGAAGTACAATTCCTTTCCCAAATGTCTCAGTGGGATGTCTGCTCCTCCTGTCATTTGCATGCAGGTTGATCAGGGGACTGAATTGTTTATGATGTGAGCAAGTGTACCAGCACCTGCAGCACCTAGAACTTCAGTCCTCAACCTGGCCATCCAAAGTCCAGCACCACAGTGAAAATAAGCAAAACCCTGGTTCATGCGGTGTGCAGGAAGACATGCCTGCTGATCATCAGAATTTCAGACAGGAAAGCCCTCACTAGAGCATAAATATCTAATGCTGGCTATACAAGGGGGAGAAGTCAACCTGCATATTAAAAAAAAGTGGGCACTTTCAGTATACAAAAAAAATTATTTTCTTGTGAGATCCTCCTATCATGCACTGATATTATAAGCCTAAAGAGAAAGGAAACTCTGACAGGAATGTCTGACAGGAGTCCTGATTCTCTTGTAATAATCATTGCTCAGCTTGGCATTGTAGTAAAGTTTCAAATCAAATTCCACTATTGTTGAGAACCAAATGTTTTGTGCTTTTTTTTTTTTAATTTCCTGTAGTATAAGCAGAAATCTTGTTTGGTCTGCACATTTACTCCCTTCACTCCATCCTTGTCTCCCAAGTCCTGGTACCAAGTAAGTTGCCAGAGATAAACTGGTACGTCCACAAGCATCTTGAGTATTAATATTAGCTCCCATCTTCAACAGAAGCTTCACTGTGTCAACCTGGCGTCCTGACACAGCATGCATCAAAGGTGTGCAACCTGGGGAAGAAAGCCAAATTTATTTTACCATTTGTTGTGTCATGTCTGTAAGATATAGTTTCTTATTTTCTAATGTTAACACTGGCAAGCTAACAAATCCTTTCTCTGACACTGTCCAATAGTTGTACTCAGCTTTTTTTTAGTCAGGAACTAACTTCTACGACAGTCACTGACCACTGATTTTAAAAAGAGCATGACTACATTAGGAAAAGCTTTGCCTCATTAACTCTCCTTCTGGATGGAAAAGTGCTTTTCTGTTGATAAGTTCCCAAAATGAACTTTCGTCTTTGTACACAATTTTGGAGGCTGATATCCTTCAGAATGACTAGTAGTCAGATGGTGCTTGTCTAATTTTCTCAAACCCCAGCTTCATTATGTCTGTATATTCAAAAGACTTACAAACTCAAGCTCTGATCCTTGCAAAGGTATAAAAGTGTGAGTTAACCCTTTATGCAGAGAACAACTTAATTTGAAGTCTGGATTTGCTCTAGGATATTTTATTTCCTGTTTTTATAAGAACTTTTTTAATATCTTAAAAAAAAAAATCTGTTTCGAAAAAACCCTGACATCTCCATTTAAACCTAATACTCAAATTTCTTTGTGAAGTATTGTACCATTTAACTGCTTCCTCTTCCTTCCATTCTGTTAACTGATGAAAAACAGCAAGAAATTTTCCTGCAGAATCTGACAAAGCATTTTAAAATTCCTAAGCTGGGAATAAACATGAGTATTAGAAACTATAAGACTACTAGAAACTTTATTCTTACTGGATTCAATGAGATTGCTGAGGAAATGTGCTACTCAACATGAGGTCATGTAGAGCCTGAAAAATGTGCAGGATATGAGCTGAATGTTTAGTTACATTTACATGGACAACCTAGGAGTAAAGTTAATTCCAGAGCTGAAGTACTCCTGGCCAGTCCATCTCCTCCTACTCCACTCACCATTCATACCTAGTCTTTCTCCCATTAATGAATGGATAGGGACTATTTTTTCTTGAGTAAATTTTCTCTAACCAGTAGATGTTTTAAAGATATCAATTAGAATACCTAGTTTAAAGTATATGAAAAATTGATAGCTTGGTAAAACCTGTTGAAGATTAGAACCCAGCGTTCATATGGGCCCTTTATAAGAAACTGCAACTAAAAAAATACTTCTGAAAAAAAAGTTGTCCTTGAGAATAGCTTCTAGAGGTCTGTGGCTCTTACTCACTTTGGAAATATAAAACCCAGACAATGTACAATAATTTGTAATAACATTAAATAGTAACTTAAACACAAAATGAGAACAGACTGACGGATAAAACAGATCATTTAGATAATTGCACATTTTATCCTTTGGCAAAAAAGTTACTTGACAAAACCATTCAAACTGTTACTGTACATATACTATAACCTCTGTTTTAGAGATGTCCAGAATGTAGGTCATTTGGCATTGGTAAAAATATTCTTTTTCCTCCCCTGAAATGTCAGCAGTTTCTCAGCATACCCCTAAATAAGATTAACTAAATAAATGGTAAAGTACTGTCTAATTATAGCAAAACAGGTTATTTGTAATCATATAAAAAAATCTTACAATTACAGGGAGAAGAAATTATTCAAACTGTGCATTTCCAGTGGATGTTCCAAAGAGTAACTCAAACTTCCCATATTCTGCTACTAAATATAATTTGCTGAACACAAAAATCAGAATAAAAAATTGGAAAGTTTAATTTGCAAGCTGAAGCAACAGATCTCCTGAGAAAAAGCTTGGCCTTCATTTACCCTCTCTGTCACAAGACTCCAGGATGGAAGGATCCTCTCGGATCACTGCAGTCAGGGTGTTCACATCGCCGTTAGCTGCTGCTTGGTAAACCACAGCCAAGTCTATTTCTTCTGCTGCATCAGCTGCAGACAAGGAGCACATCCGTGAGCAAACAGAGAACAGGTACAAATGATAAACAGCCAAAATAATGACACTTGTCTCACTGAGTTTTAATGACTGCCTAACTTGGGGTGGAACAAAGTGTATCTAAACAGCACTTGGTTTTTCTTAGTCATCTGAAAATTGTTTTTCATCATAACTTCTTCCAAAAACTTTCAAACATAGATACTGAATGGACTTAAGAAAAATTCTGGAAAGTTTCCACTTCTTGTAAGAAATCATACTAATGTAACATGACTTGAGAAAAAATATAATAACTAAACTAGCTCGTAATATTGCTGGCTGCATTTTTATGAGATAGGATGAAATCAGGACTCAGGTGTTTTCAATTTCAGTGTTATCCTTGTACCAGTCAGAAGACAGGCTTTTCACTTCCCTGCAATGTCCAAAGGAATTCTCTTCTCGGGAGAGTAAACTTCTGGCACCAATGGTTTGTGTTGATAATTCCTGCAAAAAGGAAAAGTGGACTATTGCTTGGAACCCAGGAGAGGTTCATTTCGTTTGGCTACAGTGTGTTACTATTAAAAGCAGATGCCTTGCAGGACCTGTTCTGGAACATTCATCAGATACTTCTTTCTAAAGAAATAGGATTCTCTTTGCTTCTTTCCTTTTCACTTTCTTTCAGACTTGTCATGTCATGCTCCACATGTGTGCACCTCCTTTGGCTTCAAGTGGATTATTAACCTCTTAACTCTAGGAGTTGAAAGAGTAGATTTTTGGGTGCAGATTCATCAGATCTGATTAATGGTAAAATGCTGTAGATATTTATTGTTGGTCAGAAACAGTCTCATGTTTCTTATCCCTATTAACTCAAAAAGAATTACAGCTGCATTGAGCTGTACTGTTCACAATGGCTGAGGTTCTGTTGGGGTTTAACCCCAGACACCCCCAATGTTCAGTCACTACCGTGACCCCTGTGGTGTGGGAAGGAATATCAGAAAATGGTGAAGTTGTTGGGTTAAGGTAATAGCAGTTTGATAATTTAAGTAACACATCATCATCACCACCACCAGAACATGACTAATAACTGTAATAAAAGGAGAGAAAGAGATTAATAAAACCCAAGAAAGGCAAGTAATGCATGGTACAGTTGCTCAGCACCTGCTGACCGATGCCCAGCCCGTCCCCCAGCAGCTCCTGGCTCCTCCCAGCCCACTCCCCCCAGTTCACATCCTGGCCATGTCAGTCTGTGTATGGGCCATCCCTTTGGCCAGGTCGGGTCAGCTCTCCTGGCCGTGCTCCCCAGCTGCTGGGGCACCTGAGCAATGCAGAGCACAGGACACTGAAATGTCCTGGATTTAGGGTGAGCACTAACTGCGAATAACTAAAATAGCACTGTGTTTTCAACATTAGTCTCATATTAAATGTAAAATAAAGCACTGTATTGGCTGCTAAGGAGAAAATTAACCATATTCCAGGCTAAACCAGGACAGGGTCAGAGCTATAAAACTTATCACTTGTCCAGCAACTCCTCTACCTTGTTAGCTGGAGAAAATGCCTAAATCACATTAGAGAGTTGATCAAAGGAAAGACAGATTAAATGACTGGTGACTTATCTGTACTGTCAAACTTCTGGAGATACCATGATTATATGAGCTGTGCAGAAAAAAGGAAGATAGTTTAAGAGTGTTGAAAAGTTATTATAAAGCTGTTATCACAATCAAATATTACATTATTTGTAATACAGTTGTAGAAATGGTATTTTAAACACTGCTATCATATTTTTAAAGTGATAAAGTATCTACAAATGTTGTTGTAAAGTATTAGCCACACTACTCATGTTGTGATCAGATGTTGTCTCAGATGAACCTGCATAAGACCTATGCTGGACTTCACAGCCTAGCCTAATTTTGCATGTGACCTTCTCTCACTGGGTGCAATCAGTATTCTGGACTCCCTAATTTGGCTGCCATGGAAACACAAGCTGTTCTTACCCTGGAATGGGTTAGTCTGTCAAAGCTGGAACTCTGTGGCCTTGGGAAAATTAAAAAACTGATCTTAATCTGTTTTTGCCACAGATTCCCTCTTCATTTCTCCTCAGCTAAAGAGAATCTAATTTATTTATTTTTTCTAACTAGTATTTTAAATTACATACTTCATAAAGTTTTTGAATAAAAATGATAGCTTTATTTTTATTCTGTTGAGGGTTTTGCTGCTGAGGCAACTGTTCACTTGGCTCAGAAGCTTTGCCCTGTGGCCCTGAGAGATCCAGAGAGATAAGGAGTCATTGCTGCTGGAGAGTCATCATCAGTGACTAGTATGTGAAGAAAAATAAGTGACTTCACCACTGGTTCAGTTGGTAATATTTCTTTATTATGTCAGGCCAAAAGATGCCTCTCAAAGTTGGTATACTAGAAAACATGTTAATGACAAGCTCAGGTCTGAGTGGTTGATAGCTTGCATTGTTCCTCTTGTCCTTCAGTCTCTGAAGGTACACAGAGGGTGCCAGCCCCGAGCAATGACATAGCTCCTCTCATGGCTGCTGTCATGTACAGCTCTGCAGGTGCTGTGTGGGTGTGGTACAGAGAAGATGCTGCTGGCACTGGGAAAGAAACTGCTAGATGCAGTGAGGCAGAGAGTGAATCAAAGTGGTCCTCACCTCCTTTGATGCATTACACATGTCAATTTTGTACTCTTTTCTTGCCTTGTGGGCGCTGTTAGGTATTCCTGCTGTGAGTCAGGAGCAGAGAAATCTAGCCACAAAAGGGAAATCTCCAACTCCTGAGCAGAGCAGTTGCTTACCTGGAGGGTGCTATGGCAGGAAGATGAGGACAAGTGTGCACTCCTTCATATGGGTCTCTGAACATCTCTGTCCTTTTGCCTCTAGGTAAAACCAAGAAACTTCCCCTTTGCTTCTGCTGGGCTCAGTCTGCTTTCCCCAGAGCAATTATCCTTTTGTATAAGGAAGGGAAGTAAAACTGTGGAGGGAGGGAGGGAGGGAGGGAGGGAGGGATGGATGGATGGATGGATGGATGGATGGATGGATGGATGGATGGATGGATGGATGGATGGATGGATGGATGGATGGAAAAATGAATAAAGTTCTGCCCCTGCCTCTTCTTGCAGAACACAGGCTCCAATTCTGTTAAAGTATGGTGGCATGATGCCACAAAGATTCACATGCCCCCACCTACAAGTCCCATCTGCCAGAGCAAGGAGAGGCAGGTGGACCAGGCTGTCATCCTGCCTGGGAGCCTGGGACAGGAGGAATGGATGAGCGCTCATGCTGGGATCTGAATAAAGATGACTGACTTGAATTCCATTTCTGTAGGGTGACACAACTTCAAGTAGGGTGTCTTGACCTGTATCATTGTGAATGGGGATTGAGAAGGAAGACAGATAAATGGCCTTCTGATGCTTCACAAGACAGAGAGCAGAAAATGCTGGGATAGCTTGGATGTCATTTTTGCTGGATGCACTTGGCTCCAGGTGAACAACATGACCACTTCCTCTTCCTCCAGCTTAGCCTGTCAAGGAATGGAGAAGTATGGGTACAAAGCTAGTAGGACATTTATTTTTGAAGACATCTTCCTGGGCAGAAGAGGAATGGTTCAGAGAGTGAACATTTTGCAAAAGGCAATAGTGAAGTACTGAATGTTTGTGTCCCCACCTCTGTGAGCTTACACTGCTGTGGGCTTGGCTGTGGCTGGGTCACAAGCATCATGTAGCAGAAAGGGATTGTGAACAACCAAATTATGACTCTTTACCTTCTAATGTGTTACAGTTACTCCATTACTATGTTGCAGTTCAAGAAATGCCACTTAGTATGGTCCCATCTCAAATACATTTTACATTTTAGAGAATTACTGTGATACTGGTGAAAGGAAGCTGTCAGTCATATTCAGAAAGGCAGAAGATCCATTTAAGTGCTTGTTTACAGAGAAAGGCAGGGAAGAAACTGCAGGCTGACAGTAGTGGTGTAGAAAGGTCTGGAAGAAAAGATTAAATAACATACAGGGTAGTGCTAAAATCCTGAGAAACAATCAAAAGTTAAACACCTATATATCTGAAACAAGCTGCAGTGTTTTAAGAGTGTATAATTTCTTCAAGGCAAAGTAGTTTACTTTTGATCAAAAAAGGGGGCATATAAAAAGAGAATTATCACAGGATTCAGAGCAGTGAAATTGTGCTTCTCATTACCTTAATTCTCCTCCTTAATCCTCCTCTGATGTACTATGAAGAATGCATGTTTTACATGATTTGTGATGTTGGCTGTTTTGTTGTTTTACAAAGTACACATTAGATGTACATAAGTGCATGCTTTCTAGCGCATTGGATTTTTAAGTTCTATATAAATTTGCTGGAGCTTGGTGTACATGGTCATACATATACATGACAATGATTGATTTTGGACTTGCTAAACTAGAAGATATTAAAAACTGAAGACAGAATAATACGATAATTCACGTTCATTGTGAAAAAGAAATACTTATGCATTTAATTTACTACCTTCTCTCTCATAATCCCTCATCCCCACCACTACCCAAAGACTGGCCATATGTGATTTCCTACACCTTGTTTTCAGGACACAATACTGTGTAGTTTATTCGATGAGTGTCAAGGGGCAGTGAGAGGTGCAGTTTTTGAAAAGTGTAGCTTACTCTCTACTACTGCATTTTTACTGAACACTTAACAAAGTAATAATCCCTGTGTGTGCCTGTCAGTGCATGCACCAGTACAGGCCTTTGTCTGGCTTCTCTGTTTATTTAGTAAACACATGAAATCAGGAATAGCATGCATTTATTCAAGTGGCAGCAAGCAAAATTAGGAGGGAAGGGGTTTCTGGTGCTGTTTGCCTTCTGTAAGTCCCACATTCCTGTTACTATTGTAAGCATTATGAGATATTATTGAACTGTACCATAAGACGTGTTGCAAAGAGACAGTATGATTTTTAAACTTGGAATGATGGGGATTTATTTTTATTTATAGTTGAGAGAGTCTTCCGACATGTGGGATGGAGAAAAAAGGGGTTTTGTGGAGACCCTTTTATATAATATGAATTGCTGCAATGAAAGACATTTCCCTTCTCCTTGCTAAAACAATCATGGCTGCTTAAATCAATAATGTGCCAACGCTATAAGAGGGTATTTAGACAAAATCCACTATACACTGCAAGTTTTGAGTAGAGTGTCCTTTGCATAGTAACCAATGAGCTCAGTATCTCATTACTGCATGTTTTGTGCTCCTACTTCCCATCCGCCTCCCACACAGCTAGCAGGGAAGGTGTGCAGTAAATCACAAAGCACCTAATGAGCAAGCATTCCTGCAGCGCCAGTAAAGCAGAGGTCATGAATGTATAGTGAAGGGACCTTCTGGCAGGGGAGCTGATGTAGGTGGAGAGTGACACAGACAGCAGATGATGCTAGACAGAAATTAGGATGGGTCAGTGTGGAGAGTGGCCCGGCAGCTGGAGGGGGTGCAAATTAGGAGCAAGGGGAGGTATAGGTAGATGTTGCCTCCCAACTCTATCCCTTCTATCTGGATAAACTGGTTTGGGTCTGAGGTCACCTGCACTGCTTTCTGCACACTAAGCCATGTGGAGACCTGGCTTTTCCTTCCCCAGCCCTGGTGATATTCCAGCCTCATTCCTGGCACCACTTCCACTGGCTCCCTCGCAGCCATCCTGATGGCATAAAGCACGCAGAATTTTGCCTCTGCCTCCCCACTCCAGCCCAGCTGTCCACTCCAAGCCCGGCTGGCATGTGGCAACAGAGGACACTCATAGTCCTGCAGAAACAGAGGCTGGAATGGCTGTTTGGAGCTGCAGAAGCTCAGTCAGCCCCACACCTCTGTCCTGTTGGGAAAAATGCTCCATAAGTCATTCACACATCATTTAGGAATACTTGTCTCTTTTTCTGCCGTACAGTTCCCCCCTTTACCACTGCACTTTCCTCTCCTTTATACTTGTTGGTAGTAGATTTTTCTCTTGTCACTCAGTTATTCTTCCCACTTGTCCCCCACTACATGCGGGTCCCAGCTGGATTGATGTAGACCAGTACTCCCAAGACTTGCTCAGGCTTTGAGTGCTACTGTGGCTGAAGGGCAGCCTTAACCCCACCATTTTATATGGGTTGTATTCACATTGGGTTCACCAAGGAAGTATAGGCAAGCATAGAAGTACAACCTGTAGCACCCAGCTTCCCAAAGGGCAATGCCTTCTCTTCCTCCTGCTTTCATTTTTGTTCCACTGCAGTCCCTTTGTTGTGGGGCCTGCGTGGCCATGTCAGCTCAGATATTTTGCAGATCTGCGCTGACACCTGTGGCCACTGCACACATATTGTTTGGTAAGCCAATTTAAAAGAGAAATATGTTGCAACAGGCATAATCAAGCAATGACAGTGTCCTGCTTTGGGAACATAAAAGGAATGTTGCTACACTTGTAGTGGATTAAGCCATAAAACATAAAAGCTTGTATTGGCAAATAAAGACATGAAATTTAACATTTAACTTCAAAATAGACAAGAAAGAAACATTTGTATTTCCATAGTAACCTTACAATGTAGAAAATCTTCATGTTGGGGATTTTAGTGATATCTTAAATTTGCAATTATGGCAATACTTACCTATACAGATAAATTTACTAAAGAAAAGTATTTCACTTGTCAGCTTCTAGTCCTTTTAGTATAGACTTAACCAGCTGTCCGTAAATTTTTACTCAATTTAAAACTGCTCTGTTTGCTAGTACTGCAACTGTTTTTAATATCTATAACCACAAAAAGACCAATATACAGTATAAAGATAAATATGCATATATACATCTGTCAGTGCTAACCATAAGAGTAGCCAGACACTGTTGCTATTCTGCTGAAAATTTATTTTTAGAAATCACTGTAGCAATAGACTGAAATGTCCATCCAGTCTAAAACCGATGGAAGAAATTCCTTTACATGAAACCAAAATAAACCTAATCTTTCCCGAAAATTCACGTTATTGAGTCTGTCAAGTAACCTCAGTACATTTGCATGGGACGCGTTGGAGGATCACACGATTTTGAAATTAGTAGCACGTGACTTACCTTTGTGCTGGTCAAACACAGATGAGGAACTGAAATCCATTGTGATCTATCTCATTATTTACAACCAGACCAGACAAATGCCACCTCCAGGTTTTCAGGACAGAATCTCATATATTACAGTACACAGTGAAACGACAGCTGTCACCAGTCTTCCTCTCAGAGGATTAAACTCGCTTTACGGCTGCAGGTTGTTGCCAAGGCAAGAGCCTGATGGAAACATTATATTCTGTATGGGCTCTCTGAAGAAGATGCCCCTGGAAGCCTGTCTGCGATGCTGAAAGAGGCCATGTCTGCAGCGAGCGGGAGAGGCTGGGCGCGGGCGGCGAGCGGCCCGGGCGGGCACACGGAGCATGTGCAGAGCCCCGCGGGCCGGCGCCCGCCCGTCCCCGCCGGGGCCTGGGCACGGCCCGGCCCGGCACGGCCCGAGCGAGCAGCGCGGAGCACGGCCCGAGGGCCTGCTGCCTCAGCGTGGTGCTGCTCAGTTAGCTGGGATAGGGGACAGGGAAGGGACAATAACTGACAGCAAACGCTGATGCGGACAGTGTTAGCTGCCGCAGCGCAGTGCAGCTGTGCTGCTTCGGGCTGGGGTAGAATTAATTTTCTTCAAAGCAGTGCCATGCGGCTGAGGTGTGGATTTGCTGGGAACACTGCTGGTAACACAGCGATGTTTTAGCTCTCCTTGAGCAGTGCGTACACAGCGTTAAGGCCTTTTCTGCTCCTCTGTGTCCCACCAGCGAGGAGGCCGGGAGGGGTCACAAGGAGCTGGGAGGGGACACAGTCAGGGCAGCTGTCCAGGAATGGCTACAGGGATGTCCCATTCCATAGGGTGGCATGCTCAGCAGTAAAGCTGGGGGAGGAAAGAGGAAGGAGGGAATGTTCAGTGTGATGGCATTTGTCTTCCCAAGTCACAGTTATGTGTGTTGGACCCCTGCTGTCCTGGAGATGGCTGAACACACCTGTGTGCCTATGGAAAGTGGTGGATAAATCCCTTGATTTGCTTTGCTTGTGCATGTAGCTTTTGCTTTCCCTATTAAACTGTCTCTAACTTAGCTGATAAGTTAATTCACTTTTACTCATTCAATTCTCTCCTGCATCCCACTGTAGGTGGCATGGGGCTGACTTAGATTAAACCGTGGTTACAAGGGATGTCAGGGTCCATAACTTCAAACCATACAAGGGTCCATAACTTCAAACCCAGTATCTGCCAAACTGTCTTCACACTTTGTTTGTGATTAGGCCTCTGCCTTCCTAAGTTAAGAACTCAGACCTTGTACTTGAAGGGGAGGGGACCCTGGTGAGCTTTGCTTTTTGCTACATTATTTCTGTGAAAGAAATAATAATAAATGTACTGACTTGGAAATTACCTTGAACACTAGATTACCAGCACTGGTGTTTTGATCAATTAGTATGACTACAGCACATCCTAGAGACATATCCTACATGTGGATACAGCATGAGTTGTGTCTGGAGCTCATTCACATCCCAAGCACCTCCTTCCGAACACAAATTCAAACTATGTGTTTGGGAAAGGATAGCATCCAGGAAGGTCTGGGAAGCAACACAGACTCAACAACACAGACTCAACAGCTTGAAATAAAACACCAGAGCTGAAACTCTCTGGAATGTGGCAGTGTGATCTGTTGATCTGATTAACTGTGAAGAGGCATTTGGTAGGACAGAAGATCCAGAGACAGGCTGTTTCTCTTTTCTCTACTACTGGTTGTTTTTTTGGTTTGCTTTGTCTCAGGCCAACCTTATTATACTGAGGAGGGACCCACTGTATGCCAAGTGCTGTCCATACAATGTGGGAGTAGAATATTACTCATGATGACGGTCAGCTCCTAACTGGCATCTCCTTGGTGGGGAGGGTGGCTCCAGGGGTGGCACAAGCAGGTGAGGTCTAGTCTAGTTTAGTCTAATACCCTGATTCTGTTCAAATAGCTGCCATGGTTGCTGATGTCACGGAGGAGACACATCTCTGGTCAGGAATTTTGACCTGCAAATTATGATCTTGAAAGACCACAAAAGTGACCTTTGCTTTCTGCATGTGACAAGAGGCCCTTTGTCCTCTGTGTACACAGGATTTCTGACCCTGGGCACTGCTGCTGGACATCCACCCTCCTCTACCTAATTCAGTTAATGACTAACTCATAGTTTTACCTGCCCATTTGCTGTTACTGGGTCCCTGTCCTTTCATTCTGGTCCTGAGATGAAGGAGGTGGCTTTGGCTATTACTGGTTCAGTCTCACCTTTGCAGCAAATTAGCCTGGGAATGAGGCACACTCAGGTATGCAGTCAGGGAATTTGGAGGAGAAACACTTGGCAGCTGATTCCTTCTGTGTCCCATGTATGGCACAATATGCCCTATAGCACTGTGTACATTTGCCTGGGGATTAGCTTTCCTTCAACTACATGAAAGCCGGGAACCTCCTCTGAGACTGGTGCCAGGGCTGCCATGGTGTCATGCATTGAAAACCATGGTGTCTTCTGTGTTTGAGACCTGGCATCTTCTCCCTTCTACATCCATCAGAAGGGAAGTGAGGCCAGTGCTTTAGCAAAACACCTTTCCCCATGTAAATCTGAGCACCAGGTGAACACAGTTCTGTTCCTCAACTATGATATATCACAGCTCAGATGCTGTCAAAAAAAGCTGAGATTTGGGAGGCTTAAGTCACTGACTTTCTGTATTGCTTCTTCAGAAGAAATAAATGTCTCAAAATTCGTCATGGCCTCCTGGGTGCAGTGCCTATGAAAGCAGCTATGGCTAGGGATAACAAAGCCACAAAAGAGTTAAAGGCTAGTATAGGCAGCAGATAAAGATTGTACCTTTGATATTGTTAATTTACACTATTTTTTAATTTAAGCAAAGTATATCTGACTTTTTATTCTGTCAGAAGTAGTATGGTTTTTGGGAAAGCTTTTTACTGGTCCAGAAAACTGACAAAGAGAGAGTATCAGAAAGACAGGCATTCTTTTTGCATGTTTCTTTGCTCATATTTGCATCCGCACTTTGCTGTATGTAGGGTAGATAATTCTCCTCTTTCTAACTGTTGTGGCATTAGGTGCATGCAAAAGCTGTGGTGAAAGCACCCACAGACAGTGGGTGAAACATATATTCAAGTGCTATATAAAGGTTATTTACTGCAGTGCAGAGCAAGGCTGAAAGCTGATAGTGCTGAGGCTGAGAGCTCATGGGCACTTACAGATGCCGGCTCCTACTCTGTGCCACATTGCCATCACGACCAGAGACTCAGCTGGAGATCTTCTCTTCTCTCGCCCCTGCGGAGGACACTAGCAAGTGAGCAAGGGTTTTTGCATCCATTTGATGAAATGACACAGTCAATGCTTTGGAGGAAGGCTGAGACTCTCCCCTTGCAAAGCGCCTGGAGCAGCAGTGCCCCCCATCTGTAAGGCGCTCTGCCAGCGGCCAGCACTGCAGAGGCAGCAGCTCCAGCCGTAAATTGTGCTTCTCTGCTTTCTTCGCGGGTGTGTCACAAGCCTGAATTTTCACACTGTCAGTACTGCTTGGTAAACATGCAATCCAGTGAACGGAAGCCAAAATTTACCAAGGGACTCCACCAATCTTCATTTCCGGTTTCTATTTCAAATTGACTAGTAACAATTTGGTTGATGATTTTTAAAATACAATGCTATGTACTACTTAAAGTACAATACTAACTCCTCATATGATTTTGAGCTCCATCTGCTTCTGCCTGGAAGGTTAGCACCAAGCTCAGACGTGGAGAAATCAGACCACTAAATAGGCAGAAGAAGTTAGCTGTGCTCCTTGGTGGGAACTGATTTAGGATGCTGAACAAAACATCCCTTGAAATGTTAGCATATAAACTGGAACTAGAGAAAGAAGAAAGTCACAGCTGTATCTTAGAGGTACTCACATGAAATGTAAGAGAGAGTGAGGACTTACTGTACTTTCCTCCCTACTTTTTAAGGCCAAGTACATCCTCTGCTCAGTCAACATGACTTTTTGCCCTTAACTATGATGGGATCAGGGCATCTCTTATGGTGACTTATTGGGATATCAGTAGCACCCTATGAAACAAATTTATTAATGGACCAATACTCTTGAAAGTCCTCTGTATGGACTATTAAAAAGTTACTGGTTTATGGGTATTGTTTAACCAAAAGATAATCTTATTACAATTAAGTAAACCAAATTAAATCTTTTTTCTAAGACTGATTGTTGTGCCCACTTCAGAAGGAGTGGGGAGTCTCTCACTGAGCTTATCACCCTCTTCTAGCTTTCTCTTGTTACCCTCCAAAAACTTCCTCATGATATTCCAGATGTAAAGCTGCATTCAGTACCTGTGGCATGGTGTAAGGCTGGTTTGATGAGCTTGTCAGAGTGCTTGAGCCATATGTGCCTGTGGAGGAGCTGCTGGGGTAGGTGTGGAGACCTCCTGGGTCAGGGGAGTCACGGCTTGTCTGGTGTATCTGTCCTGGGTGCACAGGTCTGTGTCTGCCCTGTCTGTGACACCAGGGTGCTGGAGATGGTGTTACACTAGTAAAGAGAAATTTCTGTGCAAATCCTCACTTTTATATTTAATTTTAAGAAATTCTGTTATTGTTTATTCTACAAGGTAACATAAGGGGAAAAAAAAAGTGTCCGTTCCAGGTTAGATCAAAGGTTCTCCTAGCCAGGTAATGAATGTTTGAGTGGCACTCACCAGCAGTTTTCTGGCAATCTGCAGGACAAGTGTGCAGTGAATGACGTTTCCTCTGACCACTCCCCTGGTCTCCAGTCCTTTTCAGACTCCTGCAGAGAGAAGTCTACAAAGCGGTCCTGTGATTCTGCAGAGTTCCAGAAGGTGGTGGTCTGGGATCAGCACTTGGCTCCAAGAATCAGCAGGATCAGTTCTTCAGTAGAAACATTTATATTACTTTCCATTAAATCCTTTTAAATGGAGGAAAAAAAGTTCATTTGTGGGAAACCAGTAATCTCTGACCTTATGCAGTGCATTAAGAATGCCTGCAAATTAATGAAGTCCCATTCCAGATATCAAAGAACAATATAGAGCATGACTAATCATCTGTAATGTAAGCTTTGAGAGCCTTGCTGAAAACCTTTGTGATAGTAGATTTGCACTAATAAAATACACGAAAAGCTTAATATGTTTTTACTTCCTTGTGTTTGGGATAATTAAAGGTACGTGTCCCTTAAATCTTTGATTTGCTATATTTTACATTTCACTGCCAAAGTATGCCGGAGCCCCAGATATGAGAAACAAGCAGAAAAAAGGTGTCTGTTACATGCAAACTGTAAATTATGACACAAAAGATTTAGTCCTACATTCCCTGCATACCTGGGACTCCTATTGATATCTTACCCAAGATTATGGGC